CATGCCTTACCATCATTGGTTTACTTGCTATACTGGCAAGGTCCAAGCTATTTGGTGGTAGAATACATACTACATTAACAAAATATAGGTGTTTCAAAATCTGCAATTTGATCATGTAAAAAAATCAATCATAAATATAAGTAAATATTAAATAGACTTTCAAAGTAAGGACCTAAATTTCCATAATCAAATAACACCTCCTCCCCAACATCATGGTGTGATCCAGGGGAAAGGAGAGGAGAATTGGTAAACAACAGAGGAATTGAACTGTAATTAAATGATAATGGATTAAAAGAGAGGTTTTTAAGGCCCTTGTGAATTTAGCTAGAAGACGGAAGCTATGGGCAATCACGGTGCTAAGCCAGAAATAACCCACTTAATATGGTGGGAACAGAAAGGGAGTTGTGAGGATCCAGAGGAGCTTTTGAAGGAAATTGAGCCTTGGAGCAGGGAGGAATTGGGACGGTTGGCTGAGAGAGGGAAGAGAGGAGGGAGGGAGATGGTTGGATAGGGACAGTCCAGCTTTTGAGGAATCCCAGCATTCCAGCAAACACAATAGGATGCCTCTGAAGAAGCCACTTCCTTGTTTCTAGTCCTGTGAAAGTGGAGGTGACCAAGGCCGAGTCCCCAAGGGAAAGAACATTGCGGTAATTCTAACTCTAATTTCCAAAGGCCAGATTGCATTATTTAAACAGTGCTTTTATGTGCATGAACTCCTCCGATTATCAGAACTACCCAGTGAAGTAAACAATACAAATATCACTGCATCATTCCATTGCCTTACTATTGGCTCTAGAAGAACATACCAACTCCTTTATTTGGTTTTTAAGTCCCTCCACAACCCGGTCCCAACCTCCCTTTCCAGACTCGATGGACATCGTTCCCCCTCCCATACACTGCAATCTCTGTTTTTCACTTATGACACTCTGTCTCTCATCTCTGTGCCTTTGCATTGGCCGTCCCCCTGACAAACCCACACCTGGAACACACTCCCTTTCTTGACTCTGTCTCATGGAGCCCTTCTCTCCGTTTATAATGCATTTGAGACCCAAGCTTTTCTTAAGCCCCCCAACTGCTGGAGGCCTCCCTCCCATAGTACCTTGTACATAACTACTTTGTACATATATAATATGCATGTGTTTAGTAGCTTTATATTTACAACATATGTATTTTAAATGTACTTGTCTCCCCAGTTAGAATGCAACATTGCAGTAGGCATCATTTCTTTCTTTATACTTACATCTCTAGAACCTAGGACTGTCCCTGGTACATGTTGTTCAGTTGTTGCAGTTTGTGTCCAACTCTTCATGATCCCATTTGGAGTTTTCTTGGCAGAGATACCGGAATGGCTTGCCATTTCCTTCTCCAGCTAAGGAGATTTGACAGATGAGGAAACTGAAGCAAACAGGGTTAAGTGACTTGTCTAGGGTCACACAGCTAGCGTCTGAGGCCAGACTTGAACTCAGGTCTTCCTGACTTCTGGCCTGTTACTTTATTCACTGTGCCGCCTAGCTGGTCCTGGCACATGGCACATACTTACCAAATGCTTCTTTGTCATCCCCACTTTACAGACAAGGAAAGGGAGGCACCATTTAGCCGTGGTCACACAGCTAGGAAGGGAGAGATATCATTCTTGAACTCAGGTCTTCTGGCTCCTGATCCAATGTTCTTTCTGCTGCACTGATTCACTTGACAAGTGCCCAGCTAAGCCAGGATGCATTGCAGCCTGTGTATGTACATGCACTGACAGCCTCTGGAAGTTCCTTCCCACTTTTTTATTCTGTGATCTCTCTATAATATCCTTACACTGTAATTTTTAACCTTAACTTTCTCCTTTAAAGACACAGCTGATCAAAACAATTAGTGCTCGGCTGTTTATTTTCTCTTCTTCATTAAGTTGAAACAAAATAATTAACCACACTGCTTTGTGAGGGAGGGGGGAAGGATAGGCGTGATCTTTCAAAAATCACATGGTTGTCTGCCTTAATAGAAATCCATTTAATTCCTATTGCGCATAATTAGTCAGATCTTTTAAAGGTGCACACGTTCTCTTTCAAACAATATTTGTGTGTTGAAGGAAAGGCAGAAATTTTCAGAAATAAAAGGGAACCTAATGAATCCTCCAGAGACTGCTGAGATCTAAAAACATGGCACTTGAGTCCCTGTCATAGAGTAAGAAAAGATAGGAAGTAGAACTGACCCTAGGGAAGACCAAGTCTCTTATTTCATAGATGAAGCAATCAAGGCCAGAAAAGGTGAAATCAGTTGCCCGAGGCCACACAGCTAATTCAAGGCATCTTATGCTCTTGAAATTGCAACAGACCCACAGTACCAGAATAGTTCACTCCTTGTATGGTTAATGCCTTAATTTAATTAATAACAAACTTTTATCAAGCATCTGCTATGCTTAAGGTAAGAATTTCCTTAGCATACATCTGGAGAACAGTATCATATGTATTACTTTGACTTTAAGATAATTCCACAGTTTATGGACAGTGAGAGGAAGGGGTTACATGCTATGTAATAATTCACATTTTCTATAATGCATCACAACTGATAAAGCACTTTTCTCTCCACACTCCAATGAATACAAGGATTATCATTCCCATTTTGCAGATGAGAAAACCAAGACTTTGCTCATTGTCACATAATTCCTTTTCCCTGGTCCCATCACTAATAAATGTCAGAGCTGGGGTTAACAAATGAATCTAAGTCTCTGGATTCCGAGAAGGAAGAGCATTGTTTTTGGAGTCAGAGGCCCAGCTCTCCCAAGCACAATAGCTGGATGACCCAACAAAAGTCAGGTAAGGCAGGTGAGACTCCCTACCTGCACCAGTCACAGTGTTGTCACGAGAATCAAACGAGATCATAAGGTCAAAGTGCTTTGGATAGCCATCAGCTATTCTAGAAATGTATTTTATTATTAAGGTGGCATCAATTGGCTATATTTGCTACTTGTGGATTTTTTAAAAGCATAACCTTGTGCTTAGAGGGTTTGCTTTTTTTTTTACTTTCCAAACCATCTTCAAATATATTCTTATTTGATCATTATGACCTAAGATTACAGAGACATTGAACAACTTACTCAACGTTATATGGCTACTTTGTGGCAGAATCAGGATTAGAACTCAAGATTTCGTGACAACTAATTTAATGCTCTAGAATTTACATAATATGTTAGATAATAGGAATCAGTCAAATGAGAAAAAATTGTTAGGAATTTAAGATTAGTCATGAATGTTGGTCTCTACTGAAATATCCTGGCATATATATTGACTTGTTCTAACTACATTCCCTCTGACAATATTGCCTCAAAGGCACAATAAAAACAAAAACAACCACCCCCCCATCTAATTAATTAAAATTCAGATGTTTTTTCAACATACAAACACTCAATTTGCAAATTTCCTATACAGAGGAATAACCCACCACACAATCCCAGTAGTGGCTATCCTAAGTCCCAGAAAAATAAGACCTTGTGTCACCTTCTTTATATCAATGAAAAGGTGATCTCCTAGTCCAAAGGAAGGAAGGAAGGAAGGAAGGAAGGAAGGAAGGAAGGAAGGAAGGAAGGAAGGAAGGAAGGAAGGAAGGAAGGAAGGAAGGAAGGAATTCTGCCCACTCTCCAGTCCCATCAATGCCTTTGTGGCTATCATATGTATAAGAGATAGATGTTCCCAGTTGTTCTATGGAAGGAATTTCCCCATGAAAACCATGTTAGGAATCATGGATAGATTGCCAGGTAATAGGTTGCAAACACCTATTTTACCTACAAAATAACTCAAATTCCATTTGCAATGAAAAATCATCATGCATAGTAAATAGGCTTTTGTTGAGCCAGCCTGGGAATCTGTCATTTATAACATGGTTGGATTTCATGATCCTTAAATTCCTTTCTGTTCTAATAGCCTACGAATCTGTAGCCTATGAATTTTCTGTAGGGAAAATACATCTGGCATTCTAAAATTTCAAGGTTCTGTCATTTCCCTGGTATGGATACTCCCTCCACCATGCAAACTGTGACCCCTACTGAGACTTAGTAGATAGACTTTAAGAATTGCTGTGACTAAAATATCCCTGAGTGACTGAGTCTCCCTAGACTTAGCATGGCCAGTCCTCAGGTGGTGGACATAGAATCCATTACAAACTCGGTCCTCAAAGTTGATTGACCCAAGAGGTGCAAGAGCTTCTGCTGGACCAGCATAGCCTTTGAGAACCCTGGGTCCCCTCCCCATCATGATGAGGCAATGATGGAGAACCTTGGTGGAGGTCAGAGCTCCCAAATGTTGTAAAATTCAATTACTATAATATAGCCAGTTTATGAGTTTGGAATTTCTGTTTGTAAAACATGAACATCTACAGGAGGAAAATGTAATATGCCTCCTAACTACAATAGGATTATTTCATTTTGATAGAATAATGGGAGAAGTACATTAAGAAAGTATTATGGAAATAAGCCTGACCTCCAAGTCAGGATAAAAAGCTAATATGAGACTATTGGTAAAGACTGTTTAAAAAACAACTCAGGCACTGATGGGTATTTTGAAATTATCATTTTAGAAATTTTAATCCCATTCAAAAGAAGAGTCTGATAGTCAACACTAGGGATGACAAGTAGAAGCAGTAGAATGTGTGCCATAGAATGGCAGCTCCTTGAGGGCAGGGACTGTTTCTTAGTTTCGTTGTTGTTGTTGCTGTTGCTGCTGCTGCTGCTGCTGATGATGATGATGATGATGATGAAGATGATTATGCTGTTAATGATGGTAGTGGTGATGTTGTTGATGATGATGATGATGATGTTGATGTTGACGTTGATGTTGATGTTGTTGATGAAGGTGGTGGTGATGATGTAGTTGTTGATGATGATGATGTTGATGTTGATGATGATGATGATGATGTTGATGATGATGATGATGTTGTTGATGATGATGATGTTGGTGGTGTTGATGTTGTTGTTGCTGATGGTGGTGGTGGTGATGATGATCCTTTATATCCCCAGCACTAAGAAAGATGCCTGGATCATAGTGAGTGCTTAATAATTACTTGTTGATTGTTTAAATATAGCTTTCCTGCTGAAAAAAAGTGACCTAGTTTATATTTTGCATCTATTTCTATAGGTACATTTTGTGACCCCTCCCCTACAAAGTCACCTAGTTGAGGCTGGGAACTGTTTAACTTTTGTCTCAGTATCTGCAGTCCCTGTCATTGTGAATAATTGATAGGTAGATTGAATAGGATAGAATGATGGAAAAACAATGGACGTCCACCAGGGTTCACGTGGCATTCTAATCGAATCACACTAGAGTGTATGTGGTATATTGCCCAAGAAATGAGGAAAGAGACAACTTAAAGAAAGCTGATTAGGGTCTCCTCTTTGTAACTAGACAGACAGGTAATAATCAGGGGATGATTTGTCCATTGCTCAAAGCTGACTCAAATATGGTCATTTGTCTCCCAGAATTTGAGTAAGAACAATAGTGTGGAGTTTGTTAAGAAAGTGATTTTTTAAAAAATAAGCATACTTTCTGCATGTTCAAACTTCTTTTCCCCACCTTGTAAGGAATCCCCGATGTTGTTATAGCTCCGTAGGAAAACCACAACCACACAGAGAGAATTTTAAATGAGTTACATAAAATATAAGACAGAATAAAATGGGACTGTTTGATTACCTCCTGAGGGGTGATTGTAGCAATTTTTACCTGCCTTCCTGATGAGCAATGTTTGACTCTCCACTAGGACACTGCCATGATAGTTATAGAAACATCCAGAAGATATCAGGGACCTCCAGAGTTCATTTCCAGGCAAGACTGCACCTAACCCATTATAAAGGGATCCAATCAAAATGACTGAACAACAACAAATTCCAAGGGGTCTTCTGTCTCTCAGTCTCTTGTCTCTTGGTCTCTGTTTCTCTTTCTCTTTCTCAATCTCTCTCTCTCTCTCTCTCTCTCTCTCTCTCTCTCTCTCTCTCTTTCACACACACACCCACACACACACACACACACACACACACACATACACACGCACACAATATCCATACATGCAATGTTTAGCCTTTGAATGATGTCTCCAAGAAGCAAAGGAATAAGCATCTGGAGTCATGGTTTCCTCTTCTTGTCTTATGCAAAATAGTTATGGGACTTTGGGCTAATCATTCAATTTCTCTGATCTTCAAACTGTCTCTAAAGTACCTTCTGACTCCAAAAATCTCTGAAATTACAGTTTGATGACTATAGCTTCAGTAGTTATGAATAAATGCTTTCCTGTTGCTCTATACTGGGAAAAGTATATTTCCATGTTTGGTGTCATCTTTGACTCCTCACTCTTCCTCACTCTTCCTTCCACATATGCAACCAGTTGCCAAATCTTGTCATCTCTTCCTCCATGACATCTATCACATGCATATTCTCCCATTACTCTCCAGGCCCTAATTCATCTCCTCTGGACTGGACTATTACAACAATCTCCTAATTGTGCTTCCTGCCTCTCCTCATTCCAATTCATCCTCTACTCAACTGCCAAAGTGTGGAAGTCTGACCATGCTACTTCCTTCTTCAACAAATTCCAGCTGCTCCCCTATTACATCTAGGATCAAATATAAACTCCTCTTTTTGGTTTTGAAAGCCCTTCATAACCTAGCCTCACCTTACCTTCTCAGCCTCATTAGGTATTACTACAGTTCTTTCTCTCTAAGGCCAAACAGGCTTCCTTACTGTTCTTCACATACTCCATCTCCCAGCTTCACGCATTTGCACTGGCTATATGCCGTGTCTGAGACTCACCTGCACTTCTTGGAATCTAATTTCCTTCAAGGCTCAGCTTAAGCAGCTCCTTCTACATGCAACCTTTCCTGGTCCCCTCAAATGTTAAAACCTTCCCTCAAGATAGTCTTATCTATTTTGTAAGTATTTCATATGAACCTATGCAAGCATGTTGTCTTTCCTGGGTAGAATGTAAGGTGTTTGAGAGCAGGAGTTGTTTCATTACTGACTTTTGTTTTCCCAGAGACAAGTGCAGTGCCTATTACATGGTAGGCACTTCATAAATACTTATCAGTTGACTGACTGATTGATGGACTGGAGGCAGGGACACTGGGATGTCACTTGGCATGATTTGTTTCTTAAATTCCATAGGATTTGTAATTGGAAGGGATCTTAGAATTCATCTAGTCCAGGAATTCTTAACTTAGGGTCCACAGATGCCCCAAGGGATCTGCAGATATATTTCAAGGTAATCATTAACTTAGTAAAAAAAAAATACATCTTTATTTCAATATAATTGGGGTTTTTGTAATCCTGTATATTTTATTTTATGCATTTAAAAACATGATTCTGAGAAGGGATCTGTAGTTATCACCAGATTGCCAAAGGGGTCAGGACACACACACAAAAAGGTCCAACTCCCCATTTTACAGATGAAGAAAATAAGGCTCAGAAAAGCAGAAGCTCTAGTAAAGGTTAAGAACTAGGATGTGTTCTCTATACAAACAAAAAAATCTAACCCCTCTTTATTTAATCAATCCCAAAGCATTTATTAATCACCTACTATGTGCTAGGAACTACACTAAGCACTGGGAATACAAATACAAAATAATAGTAACAATAACAATAATAATCCCTACTCCTGGAGAGCTCGACATCCCATAAGATACATTACATTCTATTCCCTCAGTCATTTGGATGATCCACAAATAAAGTCAGAGTTACATGGAACCCTGGAAAACCATCTGTTTAAGTGCAGCCTCCTATCTTCTGGCAGTGAATCTATATCTCATTTCTGATTTATAGCTGAAACTCAGAAACAGTCAATGACTTGCCAAAGATCACAAAGCTAATCAGTAGCAGAAGGGAGATAGGACAAGATCTCCTGCCTTCAAGTATATTGTTCTTTCCTCTATGCCATATTTCCCCATTGCCTGACAGCATATCTACTCTCTACAGAAAAAAAAAACCCAAAAGGAGAAAATTCTAACATGTTTCTCAGGCAAATGATCCATCACAGAGTCCTGTTCTGAGAGTCTGAGGGAATGGGAGAAAACAAGCGTTTATTAAGCATCTACTATGTCCCAGACACTACACTGAGTACTCTACAAATATTATCTCATTTGACCCTCCCAAGGTAGGCGCTAATGTTATCCCCATTTTACAGTGAGCAAACTGAGACAGACAGAGGTTAAGTGATTTGCTCAGGGTCACCTAGCTGGTTTGAGACAAGATTTGAACTCAAATCTTCCTGACTCCAGACCTAAGATATATATTGCTAAAACTTTCCCATCTCCAAATTGTGGACTTTTGTATAGCTAGTGAGCCAAGTATATCCCAACATCTCCTTTAGAAAACACTTTAAACTCCCCAGATCCAGGTGACCACATCCTTAACTGTATGTTGAATTTTCTTGAGGAAAGCTTATGAAAGACTCCCAAATGCAATTGCGTTAGGTTCAAAGAGCTTGGAGAGGGAAAAACCAAAACAAAAAGCAAAAGTACTTCGATGTACTTCAGTCTTTGCCAGCCCTAACAGTCCTCTGTACCCATTTGGGGAGAGATGATTTTGGCTGTCTTACAGAAGAGCACTTTGAATCACTTCACTGTCAGAGTAGAGGATGGTTCTCCAGTTATTGCCTTCCATCAACACTGAAGAAGTGAGCACCTTTCCCCAAAAGCTGAATCAGGAGAGCGCTGGGCACTTCAATGGTGAGGTTGATCTTTGTGATTTATGCTTCTCCAGAGACCTAGGCAAAGTGAAGACTGAAAAGATGACAGCTTAGAATAAATGAAACGTCTGCCTTGATCCCAGCCTCCCAAAAGAACACAATGCCAACTTTCAAAAGCATTCCGGTCCTTCTTCCTGATTGAGAAGAGTGAATAGTGATCAGGGTTAAAAATAGATTCCCTCACTCTCCAATCGGGCCCTGCATGGTGGAATCCTAGGATACTTTCTCAACCTTCTTGCCAATTGAAGAATATTTCCATAAGGAACCCGTATCACGCCCTCATTTCCCATTCAACTCTGCTGGAGTGTCAAAGACTCTCAGACGGTTGTAGGCTGTGAATGGCCGCAGGAGCACAAACGAGCTATTTTTGAAATTGGATCAAAAGTGGGATTGTGTTCGATTCAAAATACTGGAAGGGAGGAAAGGGGAACGGCTCGTCTTTAGCGCTTTCTTTAGTCATCCAAGAGACTTGCCTGGGCTCCATTTACAAGAAAAGTGTTTTATGCTCATATGGAAACACTTATCCTCTGGCACCCCCTGCTGGTTACAATGTAACCATAGAGGGAATTAAAGGTTGAGGGAACCGCTGGTGACCTCATTTCTAACAAGTCTTTGAAATCATTTGGAACAATGAGCATTTGCAGCTTTAGCCCCAAAACATCAGGAAACCACAGACTCCAAGCCCTCCCTACCCTTCTGTATGTATCAGAGTACCCACCATCCTTCAAAGCCCTTCCCAAATCCAATCTAATTTCCTGTTTTGGCCCATTCAATCTCTCCCTTTCTGTACCTTCTTTAGCCCAAGCTCTCTGTGCTACCCACTTTAGCACTTGATTATAGCTTGTGATAGGATTTGGAGCTGGAAAGGACCTTAGACTCATCTCGACAAGCCCCTCATTTTATAGAGGGGAACACCAAAGTCTGGGCAAGTTTAGTGACATGCACATAGAGTCAGGATTAGAATTCAGGCCCTTTGACTCAAAACCTACTGTTTTTATCCCTATATTAGGTGGCTTCCTTGATTTGTAATCCCATAGTTTAACATAATATTTTATTGTTGTTCAGTCATGTAGTTGTGTTGGACTACCTGAATGGGAGGAAGATGAGGCAGTACCGCTGTAGGAAACACTAAGTGAAAAGCCCAGCAGCCCATGGTCAGATTCAAGGCGAGGAGACATAGCTGGAGAGTTTTCAGGCAGACAAAGGGGAGTGGTTGAGGGGTTTAGCTGCTACCGACAGATACAGTACTAATGCATTAAGAATTGGCTGCGTCTGCCCTCTCCACTTACAGCAACCTAAACACTCAGCTGTGATTGGCTCTACAGTCGCACAATTAAGTCCTTCCCTTGGGATCACTTCAGCTTTTGTACTCCCAAAACTTAAACTGGGAGCAGCTCTGGCCATCGCTTGGTACTTCCAACTCTCAATTGCCCCTCTGGGCCATCAAAACTTATTGTAAATCCCTCATAGAGTTTGGGAAATGCTTCATTATAGAATTCTCATCTACCAGCAGATTATGGCACTTAGCATCCTGCTGTATTGGTATCTTCAAAGCTATCACTGATGATAAATAATTTAATGAAGACAAAATGTGCTACCAGCTGTCTTATTCTCTAGCTTTATCAGGTTGAAAGTGCAGGGCTAAGCAAAACATAGAAAAACACAGTGTGAAATTAGAAAGACAAGCCCCCCCCAAAAAAAATCTTCATGGTTCTCATTTGTAAGTTGCACAAATGAAAAAAAAAAACCACATTGGGCAAATTAGCAACTTAAGCTACGGGTTATGCTATCCATCACTACTCAGATGCCTCCTCTAGCCATCACTAGAAATAAATAACAAGTTTAGAATGCAGTCAATGGGCCATACTTGAGTAAAGGGTAACCCCAGAACTTAGAACAGGGGTGGGGAACTTGCAGCCTCGAGACCACATGTGACCCTCAAATCCAAACTTCAGTCAAAGGGCTGCACTTGAGGACCTGAAGGGCCTCACATAGCCTCAAGGCTGCAGGTGCCCCACCCCTGAAGAACAGTGCCTAGTACTTAGAACTCTGCCTGGCACACAGTAGGCAATTAATTAATGCTTATTGGCTTACTGATCCACTGTCCCCAACAGTGGCTTACCATATTTGACTTGACAGGATTTTCCTTGGATTTTATTATATTAACTTAGAAGCTATAGACACACTGAGCTTCTCAAATCACATCTCAGTACATTGTTAACATTGATCAGTGTAAGGATGCAATGGAATGTGCTCTATTTAGTTGCTAGTTTAGTTGCATTTATTAAATGCCTACTATGCACTAGGCACTATTCAAGGTACTAGGGATACAAAGTAAAAGCCAAGGAGCTTATATTATTAAACTTATTAACATATAATAAACATTACAACTTTCTACATCTTTAAGCTTTTAATAAGCAAAATGTTCTCACTGGGCTGCAATCCTTTGTTTTAAACACTTTGGTACTGAGTTCACAAGATTTTTACACATCAAGAAACCATACATTTATCACACTGGATATGAAATCTCTTTGACAATCCATTTTTCCAAGTCTAACTTTGATTCTAACCCACAGGTTTTTGATGAGATTTAAATTAGCCTAGTTCTCAATCTTTTAAAACACTCGTATCTCTTTACTCTTGGATATTTTTCTTCTTTCAAGATGTATGGCATGGTGCAAGATCATGTTGTATCTCTAGTTGGGAATTCCTGTAATCGAGGGAAAATTCTTTTTGTTTCTCAATATATCAGTTTATCATAGTTCATTATTCCTTCAATGCAAGCAAGACTTCCAGAATCACTGGAAGTTAAGGGTGTGGCATAAAATCCAGCATTCATCTGACAAAGACAACTGACACCCTACAAAAGGTGTGGAAATCAGCTCATTCTGGTCTCATCTATTCCAAGTCAGACTGCTGAGTCAGCCTAATGACAACTGAAGCACATCTATACGATCACTGATGTCACAAAATGAAACCATATCAAAATTATGGAATTGAAAGAGTAGCAGCAGGGAAAAGTGGGAAAGACTTTCACACGGAAGGTGACATTTGAGCTGAGCCTTGAAGGAAGCGAGGAGTCTAAAAGGCAGAGACAAGGAGAGAGTGCATTCCAAATACAGAGTATATAGGTTGTACAACCTCTGCACATGGTGCTGGAATGTTGTTGTATGAGGATAGGGTAGTGCTGTGAGACTATAGTTCACAAGGAAGAGATGTATAATATGTTTGGGAAAGGCAACCTGGAGCCACATTATGAAAGTCTTTAAATGCCAAATCAGAGGAGTTTGGATTAGATCCTAGAGTTAAGAGGAAGCCACTGGCTATGAGACTTGTTAACTGATTGGCTAGGGACTGAGCAAGTTAATGAGAATGAAGAGTCAAAAAGATGATGTCAAGTTTGCAGTCCTGGGTGACTAGAAGGATGGTGGTGCCTCCAGTAGAAATTGTTATTGCTCTTTTGTTCTCAAAAAGGACCAATGACATTATGAGGGTGATGTCTGGACTTTCTCATGAATTAGATCTAAGTGAAGCAGAGCTGCTCAAAGTCAGAAGCTTCACTCTCTCCTCCACAATCATCAGAGTCCAATGGCAGGACAAAAGTCAGGACGACTGGCAATAGCTCAGGATTCCTCAATAGAAATAAGGAAGTCCAGAAGAGGAGTGGGAATGGGGGGAAAGATAATGAGTTCTGTTTTAGGTACTTTGTTTTCTTCTTCAGAATTACCACCTACTAATGTACATTATGTTGATCTGAGCACCTGTCTTATCCACAGTAGACTGTACACTCCTTGAGAGCAGAGACCATGTTTTATTTACCTTTGTATCCCTCTTAGTTCATAAATAGGTGATTAATTAATTAGTATTTGAATTAATATATGCTGGTGGGTGGCAATGAAAGCAATTTCTAGTGGCATTCTGGACAGCTGATCATTTTGTTGTTGTTTTCTCTCACCCTCCTCCCTTCCTTTCATTTTTCTCCTCCTTCCTGTCACTGCCACCTGTAAGCTTTGCTTAGCCCCAGTTGTAGCATTCCTGGCTAAAGAGGTGGCTGGTCCCCAGAAGACAGTCTGGCTTTGCACATGGATCTAATTTAAAAGCCTTTACAACCTCTGGTAACTCATAGCAACAAGAAATATCAATGCTATAAAAGTGCAAGGAAGCTTGGAAGAGCATGACAGGAAAAGGAGTATATTACTGCTTCTATACTTTTCTCTGTCTCTGGGGCTCCTGTGGCATTTTTGCATCCTGAAGGTCCTGTGCAAAGGATGATTAAGGAAGATTAAGATTGTGCTGAAGGGAAGCTTAGTCCAAAATAAAATATGTCAGTTTCATGATATATACGTGTATCTGTCCTTGTTGTCTCCCCTCACCCATAAGAGAAGTAGGGATTGTTTTATTTATTGTTTTTGTATTCCCCTTAGCACAGTGCCTGGCACATAATAGAAGCTTAATAAATTTTTGTGGATGGGTAAGTGGGTGGATGGGTGGATGGATGGATGGGTGGGTGGGAGGATGGATGGATGGATGGATGGGTGGGTGGGTGGATGGATGAATGGATGGATGGATGGATGGATGGATGAGAGTGCAGCAACCAGTGCAGCAGCTGAGATCAGAAAACAGAGGGGCTCTTAACCTGGGATCTCTGAACTATATTTTTTTTAACATTTGGATAACCATATTTCAATATAATTAGATTCCTTTGTAATCCTATGTTTTATTTTACGCATTTAACAATATTATTTTGAGAAGGGGTTAGTATGCTTCATCAGACTGCCAAAGGGGTCCATAACATAAAATTAAGAGACCCTGCTCTAGAAGAAATTGGGTGGCAAGGATTAGGGTCACAGCACAAGGAGTAATTGACCAAATCAGAATTCACCTAGGCTTCTGACTTGGCAGTCATGGAACAGTAGAAAAGCATTGAATGGGGAGTCAGAGGACCTGAACTCTCTGTTCTTTTCTGCCTCAAGAAGGTCATTTATTCTTTGTAAGCCTCAGTTTCC